CATAATGGCCTTTGCAGTTCAGAATATTGAGAGGTCAGTGTACACTCAAGAGAGGAATAAGAAAAGTTTTAGGAAGAAAGTGGGTTTATAGATTGGCCTAAATGGAATTTGGGTAGTTGGAATGTAGGAGATATAAAGCTATTCTGGTTCTCATAGCAGGAATACCTAATGAAACAAAAATAGGACTTTCTGAGTATCTTCAAGGTCTCATGGCTGGGTCCCTGCTGTGCCAGTGAAAGGCATTCCAAACACATCCGGCCTCTATTCTCCAAGGTTTGAATATTGATATCTTTAGCAGAAGTGTTCCAAAAGATCACAACTACTATTAATAGAGTGACAAAATTATTGTCTAATAATAGCGGACACTTTTGAGAGTGCAAGTAGATGCTATTAAAAATTATACCACCAAAACAGATATAACAGGAACTGTCCCACATACATTGGGACATATGTCACCCAGGCTATTAACCATAAACACAAGCTGTTTAACTTCTGTTAGAGTTGTTCTTGATTTCCTGCTGTAGTCTCCATAGTGCCTATTTGAGACTCATGCTTTTACACACTGTGGGTTGCATCCCATTTAGTGGGTCATGTAGTCGGTTTAGTAGGTGGCACCCAGTCTTAAAAAAATAGAATGGGACAAAAACAGTGATATGTTACCTGAAGTAAAAAGAAATATTGCTTTGTTTTAAAACGACATATATGTACAAATATAGCCATATATGCAATGTATCCAGCATAAAATTATCCATTATTACCAATCAATAAATTATGTAATTACTCTATTGATAGCAGTTATATATATTTACATATAAAATTAAAATGAAATGTCATAAACTAATATATTATGTATTATAACAGAAATAATTTATACAAGATAATAAAATAATATGTATGTATTTGAAGAGAACAACCACCTCATGGTCTAAATTATCCTTGCAAGTTCCAGCCATTATGCTTGAAATCCAGCGAGAAGGAATTAAATATTCCTGGAATTTGTAATCTATATGTCTGCTTACATTGTATTGCTTACTATTTGGACATGTGGCCACACCATATTATAAGAGAGACTGGAAAATAGTCTTATTCCACCATAAAGATTGGTTTAAAAAAAAAAAAAAAAAAGCCTTGTTAAAAGAAAAGAGGGTGGGGTTCTATTCCAAAAGAAAAGGAGTTGAGATTTTGGGGAAGACAACTAGTAATCATTAGGAGACTGAAAATGAGGAAACCAAGGAACTGTGGAGGATCAGACCACAAGAACCACAGCATGTTCTCATAGTAGGAAGTTTGATCAGCATACTGTTTCTGTACTTATGACGAATGCCCTTCAACTAGCCTCATTTCCTTGTGTCCATTGTTAAAGAGTTAGACTCATGGGATGGAGCCCCTGGTTGGCTGAGCTTAAATAATGTGCCTGCCCCCAGGCTTGTGCTGAGAGGGAAAAAAGAAGAATCTTGCTTCTTTGTCTTCTGTTGTAGGAAATTAGCTATATCTTTTATTAGAATTCTCTGAAACTGAGATAGGAGTGCTTTAAAGAAGTCATGTGTCTGTATGTTTGTGTTTGTGTTTGTGTGTGTGTGTTTGTGTTGGAAGGGTGGGGAGTTGGATGTCAGACACTGAAGAATTAAGTTTCCACTATGAGTCATGGTTAATTAGATAACTCAACTCCCATTTCCAACCCCTGTCTACCTTGCTTGCCTCTATCATAGAGGCTGGAAAAATCAAGAAACTTTCTTTTTCTTTCCTCTTCTGTCTTTTTTTTTTTTTTTTTTTTTTTTTTTTGACATGGAGTCTTGCTCTGTCGTCCAGGCGGCAGTGCAGTGGTGCAATCTCTGCTCACTGCAGCCTCTGTCCGCTGTGTTTTAGCGATTCTTCTGCCTCAGTCTCCTGGTAGCTGGGATTACAGGCACATGCCACCACGTCTGGCTAATTTTTGTATTTTTAGTAGAGACAGGATTTCACCATGTTGGCCAGGCTGGTCTCAAACTCCTGACCTCAGGTGATCCACCCACCTCAGCCTCCCAAAGTCCTGGGATTACAAGGATGAGCCACTGTGCCTGGCCTTTTTTCTCCTCTTAAAGAAGGGGTAGCCACATGACATTGCACAGCCTTTGAGATACAACTGGAAGTTTGCTGGGACTTGTTAGGAAAGATTTTTGTTTTGCTTTCCACTTAAGAGGGATTGGAGGGATTTACATCACTGGCATCCTCTAGGGGATTCCCCATTCTTCCTGCCATCAATTAAGATGAGATTCCAGGAGTTATAACATGAGGTAAGAGTTGTGAAGATGAAAGTCTTACACACTAAGTATGCTGGAATAGAGTGATAGAAAGAGATTGGATCTGTATTTTTGAGCTGCTGAACCATCTCCATCTTTAAATTTCTCACGTGTGAAAAGAATCTCTTTAAATAGTCAGTCTTATTTGTCTTTTCTATTATTTCTGTGTCAAAGAATCCCTAACAGCTTATAATAGAGAAGATTCTAATGTTCTACCAATTTAAAATGCATTTCACAATGATCTTTCCACTGTTATCCTATTTATTTTCTTTACTTCACTGTAGAACTAAATGACAGTTTTCTTTCAGCACTCTTTAGGACTGTTTCTTTTTTTTTCTCATCAGCAACTGCATCTGCAGGGACTGTTGTTTCTTTTCTCTCTTTTTTTTTTTTTTTTTTTGAGACGGAGTTTCACTCTTGTTACCCAGGCTGGAGTGCAATGGTGCGATCTTGGCTCACCACAACCTCCGCCTCATGAGTTCAAGCAATTCTCCTACCTCAGCCTCCTGAGTAGCTGTGACTACAGGCACGCACCACCATGCCCAGCTAATTTTTGTATTTTTAGTAGAGACGGGGTTTCACCATGTTGACCAGGATGATCTTGATCTCTTGGCCTTGTGACCCACCCGCCTTGGCCTCCCAAAGTGTTGGGATTATAGGCGTGAGCCACAGGGGACTGTTGTTTTTTAAGAGCAGTGTCAGAAAACTATGGCCTGTAGAACACCAACTGTTTTGTAAATAATGTTTTCTTTAAACACAGCCATGCCCATTCATTTGTGTATTGTCTATGACCACTTTCATGCAACAACTGGAAAGCTGAGTAGTTAGAATAGGGACAGTAGGGCCCACAAGCCTAAAATGTTTGCTATCTGACCTTTTACCCCTGCTTTGGAATGCTGTTCCATCTTCCTGCGGCCTTGATAGTCTGTCATTCTCTGCAGTCCTACTTCAGTATCACCTTGATTTTTCTTTTTGAAGTTTTTTCTCTTCACTTCCCTGTTCTTATCACTTCACCATGTTTATTTCCTTTGAAACACAACAATCTAAAATCATCACATTTGTTTTCTTTTTTATTGCCTGTGCCCAATCAGAATATAAGCTTCAGGATAGGAAGGATCTTTTCTACCTTGTTGAATCCTCAGGACTTAGCATAGTACCTGGCATAGAGGAAGGAATCCAATAAACACTGAATTATATGAGTGAATAAAGCCCTAATTCATGCTAATTCAGACTTCTGAAATAACTGTCTCATTGATTTTTCTTTTTTGCCTCGAGTCTCTTATTCCTCTAATCTATGTCACCCAGGCTTGTCAGATCAATCTCCTTGAAACCTACATAGTTCCTTAGCACTAAAACCTTCAGCTAACTGTCCTTAATTGCTCCCCACTCCACAAGTTACTACAGAATCAAGTTCAGACTTACTGAAGCAATCCCAGCCTCTTTTAAGAGCAGACTTCTTGCTTATTTTGAATGGCCTATAGTTAACCAAATTGGCCAACATACTCATTCCCAAAAATAACTGTGATCTTTGCTTTGGTGCTTTAACTTAGTTATTCCATCTGGAATTTCCTTCCCTCTGACTTCTGAATGACAGAGTCTTGCCCATTCTTGATGGCTCAACTTAAATGTTAATATTCTTTACTAAAAATATCATTCCCTTTATTACATTTTCTGCATCTTTTCTTCTCCCACTACCCTCCACCCATGGTAAACATTATCTTGAATCTTGTGTTCAGTCTTGCTTTGTGTCTTTTTTTTTCTGTGCAGTGTTATTGCATCTACTTGTATTCCTAAAAAGTCTGTTTAATTGCTTTTCAGTTGACAAAAATATATCTTGATACACACACACACATACACACACACACACACACACAATCTTTTGGGTTTACATTTTTCATATAATATATTGGTAGGATTCATTTATATTGTTCTGTGTCTCATTATTGCTGTGTGACAAATTAGCCCCAAGCTTGGTAGGTTAAAAACAACACTTATTCATTATCTGACAGTTTCTGTGGTCAGGAATCCAGGCACAAGTTAGCTGGATTCTCTATTTCAGGATTTCTCATGAGACTATAATCAAGGTGTTGCCTGAGGTCATGGTCACCTCAAGGTTAACTGGGCCAGATCTACTTCCAAGCTCACTCAGTGGTTGCTGGCAGAATTAAGTCCCTCATGGAATTGGATTAAGAGCCTTGATTCTTACTGGCTGTTGGACAGAGATCACCCTCAGCTCCTTGAAAGGTAGCCTTCTCCATCACAGCACATGAGAAAAGCCAGGGAGAGAATATCAGCAAGACAAAAATCACAGTCTACATTATAACTGAATTGCAGAATTTACATCCCATCACTCTTGCTGTATTCCCTTCATTAGAAGCCAGTCACTGGGTCCAGCCCACCCTCAAGGTGAGGAAATTACACAAAGGTATGAATACCAAGAGGCAGGGGTGGGACATTGGGAGCCTTGTCAGAAGCTGCCTACCATTTGGTATAGCACTGTAATTTATTTCTTGTAACAGTTATATACCATTTTATGTGAATATACCAGTTATGCTCCTCTCTTCTTGGACTTCAGTTTTCCCTTCTGGGTTTTTTGCTGTTGTGAACGGTGATGCCACACATATTCTTGTATGAAGGGACTATGGTACTCTTTTCTGCATCTTTCCCAGTTTAATATTGTGTTTTGACATACTGAAGCACTATCAAGACATCCTTAGTTAAATCCTTTTGTAGTTCATAGGTGTGATTGTTGGGTTTTCGTGATCATTTGTGAGATGTACCTCTTTTAAACCATGTTACAACATGGGCACATTACCTGTCTGATGTGGAAAAAAAAAAAAAGACATCCTTGAATAATTTTATCTGGAATTAATCTTCTCCCTTCTAAACTCCCATAGCGTTTCTTTTGTTATGGTATTTACTGCTTGTCACCTCTTATTACGCTTATTTTGTGCATGTTATATTTTTTTCCTTAAAATAGTAACTTGCTGAGAGTAGGAAATAAATTTGATTCTGGTTTTTGTAGTTTACACAGTGCTTTCAGTATATGTTACTGAGTGAATGAATTCTGTTTAAATATTGGTGCCTAATTTTTAAAGTCTTCGTAATCTGGCTCCAATAACCTAATTATATTTCTCACTTCTCTCATATATTGACTCTTATTTAGGCAGGTGGGTCTCTTAGACATTCTTTTGCAATCTTTTCCTAATAAATTTAGATCACATTGATCTCTTTCTTCTCTTGTTTCTGTTGAATTTACTATTATTTCACACATTTAGCATTTTAGTGTAGCCTTAGGCTGTTTTATGTGTACCTACTCATAATAGGTACACAATAAACTTTATTGATGGAATTGCTGAAGTATCTTATTTTATAGTTATTTTCAACTAGTTAAGTATTTTTATACCATCGATATTGTCAGTTGACTGGGCAAATAAATAAACAAACACTGATGTATTTGAGTAGGTTTTTATCACTTTTTTTTTTTGGTCATAGGTATTTTTGGAGTTAATGGAGTCAGAAGGACCTCTTGAGTCAGAGAGCTCAGAATTTTTCTCACAACAAGAAGAAGATGAAGAAGAAGCCCAAGAACCAGAGGAAACAAGCCCCAGGAACCCACTTTTACAGCCTGCTCTCACAGGGGATGTAGAGGGTTTGCAGAAGATTTTTGAGGATCCAGAGAATCCTCATCATGAACAGGCCATGCAGCTTCTCTTAGAAGAAGACATTGTTGGGAGAAACTTGTTGTATGCAGCTTGCATGGCTGGGCAAAGTGATGTGATTAGAGCTTTGGCAAAATACGGTGTGAATCTGAATGAAAAAACCACAAGAGGTATTTTGTCTTTTTTCTCTCATCAGTATTACTTATGACTACCTAAAGATGCCATGTAATATCTTTAAGGTTAGATATATTGGATGTGCTTGTTTTATACTTTACATATATGTATGTATACATCTATATGGGTGTATGTATGTGTATACATGTAAATGTATCAATGTTGATATTACATAGTATAATATTTTAGACAATAGACTTCACTATTTATTAGTTGTGTGATTTGGTAAGTTACCTGATCTTTTTGTGTATCTGTTTTTCCATCTGCAAAATGGGGATAATAACTGTATTTTCCTTATAGGGTATAATGAGGATTAAATAGGATAAAAATAAATATTTTAGTTCTGGTATGTAGCAAATTGGTATATAGTAAATGTGTAATGATTTGCTGTTTATCTCTTTCCACTGAAGATGTATTAATTTTTAGCAATCATCTAATTAGCATTTTAAATTCAGTAATTTTTTTTTCAGATTGCAAATATAATACGTGGTCATGGTAGAAAATTAAAAAAAAAACGATCATCAGCATGATCTTCAGCAAAGACAGGATATACATTGTGTTCATGCTCACATGGAACATTTAAAAAATATTGGTATATGTTGAGTCATGAAGTCGTAAGAAGCATCAAAGAATCTGTAGCATATAGTCTTTGATCAGTGACTACAACAAAATAAAATTAGAAAATAGTAACAAAAGATAACAAAACTGAAAGCAAGAACATACTTTATTTATTTATTATTTTTATTTTCATTTTTTGAGACAGTGTCTCACTCTGTTGCCCAGTCTGGGGTGCAATGGCATGATATTGGCTCACTGCAACCTCCATCTCCCAGGTTCAAGTGATTCTTACACGTTAGCCCCCCTAGTGGCTGGGACTATGGTGTGGGTCCCCACGCCTTTCTAATTTTTGTATTTTTTAGTAGAGATGGGGTTTTGCCATGTTGGCCAAGATGGTCTTGAACTCCTGACCTCCCACTGGGAGTGGCCTCCCAAAGTGTTGGGATTACAGGCATAAGCCACCATGCCTGGCTAAGAATACACTTTAAATCATCTATTGGTCACAGAAGATATGATGAAAATGATGAAATGTTTAAGTGACAACAGCATCACTTTATGTTTGAACCTATGGGATACAACTAATATTAAAATTCTGGTATAATGCATATGTTAGAATATAAGAAACATAAAAAATTAGTAAGCAAAGCATTTGACTAAACAAATTAGAAAAAGAACAACTACTCACACCTGTAATCCCAGCACTTTGGGAGGCCAAGGCGGGTGGATCACAAGGTCAAGAGATCGAGACCATCTTGGTCAACATGGTGAAACCCCGTCTCTACTAAAAATACAAAAAATCAGCTGGGCATGGTGGCATGTGCCTGTAATCACAGCTACTGAGGAGGCTGAGGCAGGAGAATTGTCTGAACCCAGGAGGCAGAGGTTGCAGTGAGCCGAGATCGCGCCATTGCACTCCAGCCTGGGTAACAAGAACGAAACTCCATCTCAAAAAAAAAAAAAGAGTAACCAAAGAAAGTAAAAGAAAAGACCAGGCTCAGTGGCTAACACCTGTAATCCAAGCACTTTGGGAGGCCAAGGTGGGCGCATTACCTGCAGTCAGGAGTTTGAGGCCAGCCTGGCCAACATGGTGAAACTCTTTCTCTACTAAAAATACAAAAATTATGTGGGCATGGTGGCACACGCCTATAATTCCAGCTACTTGGGGGGCTGAGGCAGAATTCCTGGAGCCTAGGAGACAGAGGTTGCAGTTAGCTGTGATTGTACCACACTGTACTCTAGCCTGTCTGACAGAGTGAGACTTTGTCTCCAAAAAAAAAA